AACCTAGATCTGCTTGTAAGATCTACCACATAAAAGCACCGTGGGGTCATCAAAGATGGCGTAGTGGTAACACAGTTCTCAGTGATCCTGAACCCACACTGGTAAGGTTTCAGGTTCAGGTCCCAACATCTTCCAATGGACACTGGGACAGGCTGGCTGAAGCTGGAGGTGGATTGCATGTTAAGGGTGTCTGTCTCTGCTCCCCTGTCTCTCTTTCATGAAATAAATAAATAAATACTCTAAAACAAACAAAAAGCTAATGCTTTTATTTGTTAGATTTTGAGAAAGCTTATGTAATTGTCCGAGTTTGCTTATTAATGAAATGGGCATGATAATAACACCAACCTTATAAGCTTATTATGGGCATTAAGGAACTGTAGCTAAAGAATTTAGTATATAAAATATACTAAAACATAAAAATTTTGATGATAATTATCTTATTTCAGTGGTAACTAGAAATTCTAAGACAGTGATCTCTGAATGCATTTTATACAAAATGTTAACATCTCTAGGTAAATTTTATTTTTCCAGATCTACCTCTTTTAGGTTCATCTGGCTTTGTCACATAAAGTAGTATAAGTAATCGAAACAACAAAAACATGAAGAAATATTTTACCCACGTCCTGAAAATGGAAGCCAGCCATCGCACTTACAGAAATTCTAAGTTTACATGCTGTGGATTAGGGATATTGGGAGATCTATAAGTATGGGCTTTATTACTGCCACCTGGAATTGTGAAGCCTTACCTGTAAGAGACAGACGCTAGTCAAACAAGAGTCATAAAGTTTAGGAGAGTCTAGGGAATGCTGAGCTAAAAGGAGGAACATATCAGTAAAATAAAGCATTAATGTTTACTTCGGGCATAGCATTTTCATTCTGGTTCTCCTCCAAGATAAAGCCTCCTAATTCTGTCAAAGTTCACATGAGTAAGTTGTACTGTGTACTGTGCCATTTGCCATTGTACTGCGTGGGGAGCAAGTAGCTAATTCCTGTGATCCTCCTTTACTTTCATGATCGTTCCAAGGAAAAATTTCCCCTTGCGCTCGTTGACCTAAAAATGAAGTGGTGGTAAAGAAATAGTACCTCCCAGGGAATGCTTCACACACTCAGTATTTTAACGCAATGCTTGCTACTTCCAAAGAGGCTGAGTCAGAGGCTATTCTCCATAGCCCTCAACCACCAAGCTCCTGGATATGTTTAGTCCAAACACCTGGGTTAATGAGGCAGCCAGAGCTATGTGAGAGGTTATTCCTTATGCTGCCATTTCATCTTGATATAGTAAACAATTCCTTTGCTTAAAATGATAGAAGTCTGGCATCAACGGTCCGCATTTCCCAATCTGTGTTCCAGAGTAATGCTATCATCCTAAGAGATGGTAATGTGTAAAAGACGGTGGGGATTTTATTTATTTATATATTTATTTATTTATTTTGGAGAGGTTTGTGCTATAGGGCGCATGCGCTCGCCAGAAAGACAGAGAGAGACAGGGAGACAGAAAGTGAGAAATCACCCCCCCAGGGGGATGGCCATGCCGCAATCCCTTCTCCTCCATTCTCCTCTCGCAATCTTGGGCATGCATGCAAGCCGCCGGATCTGGGATTTTAACTGCGGTCGACTACATGAGAGTCCAGTGACATAGCCATTTTGCTAACTCCTGGTCCCGATGGTGGGGATTTTGAGATAAAAATATTTGTCAAACTTTTCTTTTTAATCTATGGGATTCTGAGAATCTTTATTATATTAAGGGGGTTTTGAATTTATTTTTTAAAAAAAAGCAGAATTGAATTAAAAGAAGAAGAAAACAGATGGAGAATATAGAAACATAGAAAATGGTTATAGATCCTTGAAACAGTGTGATACAAGGGTGGGAGAAAGAGGAGAGTCTGAGGAAAGACATTAAGGAGAAAAATAGAGAGGCAAGACATTTGTGGTACACAGAAATAGGTTATTATCTGTTGATGATAATATGTATGGTATCCCCACCTGCTCTGTTAAGAAATGTATTCATGTTAAAACATTCACTTTACAAGCAAAGTAATGTATGTGATTGAATGTATAAAAGAAATTAAAATATATTAAAAAAAAAAAAAAGAAGGATCAGGAAAGGGAGATGAATTTAGGATGTCCCAGAGGTACCTGTTGCCGGGCCACGTTTTGTTTCTGTAATAGTGACTAGAAGCCCAGCATTTCCACTTTTATACCAGGGACTGATTTGAAACCTAATCATATTTACTGCACTCCATGTTTATCTCATTCATATGAACACTAATAGTGACACTCATAGTAAGTCATTTAATTATTTAATCTGCTTTTAAAATTATTTACATTAAATATAGCATTCTATATTTCCCTGTATTTCACATTACTGGTTAAATATCTCTTGTCTGAAATACTTGGGAACAGGAGTATTTCTGATTTTGGGTTTTTTTTTTTTCAGATTTGGGGACATTTATATAACATGAGGAATATTGGGGATGGGTTCCCTGCCTAAACACAAAATTTATTTTTAATGCATACCTTACATACATAGCCTGTAGACAATGTTATAAAAATTATCATTATTAGTTTTTGCTATATGAAAAGTGCACTCACCAGAGAGCGACAGAGAGAAAGTGGGAAATTAACACCACACCCCTTCTCCAGTTCTCTCTCAGGAGTTCGGGCATGCAAGCACATATGTCTGGAGTATTTTCAAGTCCTTGGAGCCAGGAGTTGAAGCACTCAGTCATCCATGTTGGATACAGCACCTTAAACTCCATGCCACCTGCTGGTCCCTATTTACTTTTTTTTTTTTTTTTGAGAGATTTTCACTATAGGGCGCGTGCGCTCGCCAGACAGACAGAGAGAGACATAGAGACAGAAAGCGAGAAATCGCCCCCCAGGGGGGATGGTCACACCGCAATCCCTTCTCCTCCATTCTCCTCTCGGGATCTTGGGCATGCACGCACACGCGCCCGGCGTGAGTTTTAAGCCACCGGGTCCTTGACACGAACCACGGTCGACTATGTGGGAGTCCAGCGACATAGCCATTACGCTAACTGCTGGTTCCCCCTATTTACTTATTTTTAAGAAAAAGTCTCACCATGTAGGATTCTATCAGAGAGCAGAATGAGTGGGTCCTGGAAGGGTTTGAAAATATGTACACAGAAACTTACCAACACTAACTGGGTGAAGGATGATTGCTAAGACAATGCAGACAGCAAGCAAACACCATAGCAGTAGTCCCTTCCTGGCCCCCAGACTTTCTCCAGTACTGCCTACTGCCAAACCTAAGATGAAGCCAGCTGGCAAAGGAGAAAGAGGGTATTAAGAGTCTCAACTCTAAAATCTCAGAGCAGAATATAGAAGCATGGGTTTGGGGCTAAGAAACAATAGCTTAAAAACACAAAATTATTATCTGCTCTCTATGGAAAGAAAAATTAGAGCAACTTTCTTTGTTAAAACTCTATATATGAAGTGAACCTATGAAGAGGACTTGGGATGTCAGCATTATCTGATGGTGCCAGTGGACTCTTCTTCATATATAATTTTTGGAAAAAGAAACTCACTTGTGCCAACTAGTACAATTGTAATGACTGGTTTTGCAAAAATAGAAATCCTGGAAGCCACCAGAAGAGCAAAGCAACAGAATTTTTCTAAAGTGATGGATTTAAAATCGATCACTATGACATGCCTTCTGAAGCTTGAGGAGTTTCATATAATCAAGTGTCCTGTGTTTTCATTACTGTGATTTGCATAACCATGATTTTATTTAATTATTTTGTAAAAGAGTCTGTTGTAATGAAACCCAAATAGCTATTAAAGGTATAGATCTAGGCTGCTGAGTAAGGGTGATTTCATTGTACTTTATGTGAGCACAGTGCAGTCTTGCAATAAATTTAACTTCTGAAGTGTGTGTTTGTGTGTGTACATGTGTGAAAGAAAGAGACAAAGGGATAGTGTATTCTAGGAATAATAACTATTAAAATTGCTCAATTTTTGCAACAAAATATTAATACATGGCAAATTTATGAATGAGGTTTCAGTTTGTGAAATTGTCAAGGATATCATATAGATGTATGTATAGAATAATATATTTTTAAATTATTTAATTAAGTTAATTAATAGAGATTTAAAAAGGAGTTTCAATGTCTGATGGTTTTATTTTATTCATCCGTCACTTAGAAGGACATTCACAACCATTTAAAAAGACAAAGGTGTAAGTTACTTGAGTGTTCTCACACTTTGTCTTATCACTTTTATACTGTCACTGGTACTTAGTTCATTTATTTTGAATCAGGTACATTGAAAACACTAAATTTGGGATCAGCAGTTAGCGTAATGGCTATGTCGCTGGACTCCCATGTAGTTGACTGCGGTTCGCGTCCCGGACCTGGTGGCTTAAAACTCACGCCAGGCGCGTGTGCGTGCGTGCCCAAGATCCCGAGAGGAGTATGGAGGAGAAGGGATTGCAGTGTGGCCATCCTCTCTGGGGGGTGATTTCTCGCTTTTTGTCTCTCTGTCTCTCTATGTCTGTATGGCAAACGCATGTGCTCTATAGCGAAAACAAAAAACAAAACAAACAAAAAAACCTCTCCAAAAAAAAAAAAAAGAAAACACTAAATTTAATTTGAAAGTTGTTTTATTCCTAATTATTATTACCTATCTAGTATATATTTAAGAATTCTCATTGATTTACAAAACCATATATAATAAATTCATTATCTGAAAATTGAAGCAATAATGTCATCTGCTTTGACTTACCAGAATAGATTATGAATTTGCAGCCTGGAAAAAAAATATATGTACAATATAAATAAATAGATAGATAGGTAGATGCACACACAAACACACACACACACACACACACACACACACACGTATAAATATATAAATTTTTCAGAATTAGAGCAAAAACAGCCAAATGTAAAACAACATAAGGAATTTTAGGTGAACATTATTAGAAAGAATTATTTTTTTCAATGTTCCCAAGAGTTTTGTTTCATCTTGTTTAGGAAATCTCCTGAAGATGTTTTCAAGATGTAGAATTCTTATATGTGAAGTATCCCAAATGAAATTGGAGCATCCATGTTGAGATAACTTCATGTTGTGGTAAGAGAAATTGTTTTTTTAATATGGTGGCCCTTGGCGAATGTGATGAAAAAATATATATGCGTATATTCACACATATATATAGAAGTGGTTATGTATGTATGTGTATATGTAATATATCTGAGATATATATACACACACACACACACACGTTTATATATATATATATATATA